GCGAGACAGGAGAGGTCTGCTGCGCCATGTGGGTAGCTCCCTGGCTGGCCAGAGATCCAATTTGTGCTGCAGTGGCTGCCAATTGCTTGATAGTGCTGTCTCTAACCCCGCCAGCAGGGATGCCCTGTTGTTTTTTTTTAAGACAATTTTTAAAGCCTGTCCCAGAGGTCCCAGGCTGCACACGGCTCATTAACACATCAGTATTAGCATCATCCCCTTATGTCTCACCTCTCCTCACCCCACCCTTCCTTCTTGAGACCACCTCCCAAATCCACAACTGACCCTGGCAGACCTGCCCCTCCCCACCCCCCAAGAGGTCTAACAAAATTATACCTGATGATGTTTTTAAAGTTACTTGAAATGTGTGCTCTCAGGCAAGGTAGCCACACGGAGTTCAAAACTTATCTTTCGCTCTGTCATCCTATTTCCAAATACATGACAAGACGCTTTTACAACATTCTAGAGGGGCTTTATCTGTCCTATTTGTTGTGACTGCAAGGAAGCAGGAAATAGATGTGGGCTGGAAGCCGAATTCTTGAATTCACCTTCAGCTACCCAGGATTGTTTGAGGCACACAATGAAAATATGGAAAGGATACGCTGCAAACCAAAATTATTGATTATTTTGTGACTTCAGTGTTGAGCACTGGTGAGTGAGCTGAGCTGTGATAGCTTCCAGAAGATAACCCCTGTGCTACTCCCCCTCTCATCGTTGTCCCTGAGGAAAAACACGGTTTTGAATTGTGCAGATTCCAGGGTACTCATTTACACTGCTTTTGCCAGGAGCAATGATTTACATATAAAGGAAACAGAGTCTCTCTGATTCTGGTTTGAGTGAGTAGGTCCACTTTATGTCCTGAAGGTGAGTCCTGAGACTCTGCTCTCAGTTTGGGAGAAAAAAGAGCAGACGTGCTAGCCTCCTTGATTGAAGAATATTTAGCCCTAACTAGCATAGGAATCATAAAATACTTCCATGTGATTCAAACTAACTCATTGGGGTTCGATTTGGCAATAAACCTAGCTAATAAAAAAGGACTCTAGTTCCTATTTTACCACAACCGTGCATACAGGTACTTTTGAAGAGGAAGCTGTGTATGCCAAGACAGAAATCAGGGACTACTTGGAGTCCCCATCTTAGTCCAAGTCCTGCAGAAATTCAGCCTCTCATTTGCTGGAGACATAAGAACCAGATGACTTCATTTGTATAGACTAGACAAAATGTAAGAGTCTCAGTTAAAAAATAGGATTTATTTATTCTTCTTTTTTATCCACATCCAAACTTTGGCCACTAATAGACCTCTCAGATCTCAAGAAGCAAAGGAAAATAAAGCTAACAAAAACCACCTCAAGGGAGAGAACGTTTTAGACTCAAGTCTAGCGCAGGTGTCAGCAAGTGTGGCCCCTCCCTGGGTGTTTCTGGGGGTTCCAGGAAAGATGTCTCAAAGAGCAGCTTTTGTCATTCATTACACAAATATTGAGTACCCACTGAGCAGGAATAGTGCAGTAAAAAGTATTATACAGTGTCTGACTTTGTAAGACTTCTCCTAACCTACAAGGCAGTAGCATTATAAAGAAGCCAGAGAGAAAAGAATGAGAAATTCCTACCACAGAGTGTCGTCTCAAAGATAAAGATCACGTTCAAACAAAATCTGCAATGAGACAGGCACACGAAAGTGTTGAACTTATTCCCTGAGCAAAAACACATGAGGAAAGGCTGCTCAAGTTCTTAGTTCATAACACAGCCAAGGAAAGCCACTGGTTTTCCCCATGTGACTGTATGATGGCGGCTGGCATCCTTCCTGGAGCACTGGGGTGGAATGGCCTTAGGATAAACTCAACACAGTGCAAAGCTGAGAGAAGAATCAAAGAACCTGAGATCTGGTGAAATCTTTGCTTTTTGGGGATTGCATGATCCAAAGCCTGTTCTCCTTATGGATTTCCTTATGGGAAAAGCTGCAAAAGCTGAACAAGTGTTATGGGTGTTTCTGATTTTTCCAGACACAAATATTTTGATGGACTTAGAAACTGACCCTAGCGGTGCTACAGCCACCTGGAAAGAATTTGAAATGGTGATTTGGTCACCCGAAGTTGAAGGCAGCGGCATCTATGCAGGGATGGCCCCATGACTGTCCCTGGCAGGCAGCGGCAGAGAACAACATTGGCTCTCATCTGAGGCATCCATCCAGGCAAGGATTTGAGAGGCTGAATTGACATGGCCAAGGACTAGCATTTATGCTTTGCTGGTATTGGCTCTGGAAAGATTAAGATTAAAGAAAGAAAATAATGACCTTGATTTTTAAAATTCTTGATTCAAGCTATAGACTAAATCTCAGAAAATTCCTGTGACTGCTTAACAAATCTCTCATCTTTTTACTTGTGGAAACGAAAGAGCTGAAAAGGGTTGAATTTGTCTGTAGGAGTGCCAGATATCTGGCTTCACTGCGACATCATTTGTGTTTCTACAAGTTGTGGATTTCCACACCATTTGACTTTACAACCTTAGCAAAATCTTATGAATGAGTTAGGGTGATGAGTAGTAATAATGAAACACCTACAGTTGGAATGGGTGTACACTAGGAAGGCCTAGAGGAGTAAAAGAAACCAGGCATCTAAGTGTGATGAACTTTCAATCATGGAAACTAACTCCTTGTCTTCCTGCTTTCTAAGTGCTTGTTTCATGGCTTAAAGAAAGACTCAGAATCTCACTGGTTGGAGGGAAATAGATTTCAGTGGGAAGCCAGTTAACCTCATCACACTGTTCTGTATCCATATCTACAGCTGCATTTGATCCCATCATGCTGGGTGTGGAGAGAGGAAGGATTACAAAGTTAAGACTAGCAGAATGTGACTTAACCACCAAAAGAATTGGAACAGTTTTCTAATTCCTATCAAGAAAAATCTGGGGAGCGTGTCTGTGCTTGTTAACAATGAGGTAAAACATGAATTTAGACTGGGTTGAATTTGTCTATAGGAGTGCCAGATATCTGGATTCAGTGTGACTTCACCAGCTGGAAGCTATGATAATTGTTTGGTTGAAGGACTAAAATAAAGTCTCAGGTGGCTTTTGCTGAGTCAAACGAAGAGGGTAGAGACTTTATGGGATAATAAAGAAACCCACAGGTATTAGGAGAGAAAATAAGTTGGGGTAGGTTAATTTAACATAGGTGGTTAACTTTTCCCCACCTTACTTTGTTCCTGAGAGGGCAGAACATTCATTAATGTCTTGGGGTTCGCTGTGCTGAGAGTTGGGAAATGCATGAGTCCTTTGCTGGCTGTTTGTAGGTTGAAGCAGCTAGAGGAAGAGTGAAATGACTCTGTGTCTTCCATGGAAAAGAGAAGTAGCTGGGGCGACAAACGCCAAGTGGTCACACTTAATTAACTAAAAGCAAGATGGATGATTTCTATACTAGGCATCAATCCTCTGTGGTAATCTGAGTGTTTTGGTCTGGTCTGTAAGTTCATTGGTGGCATCCAGACAACTGGGGTTTCTAGGATGAAAACAGATGGTGAGCTCATTCAGGCCTTACTTGATTTGTACATCTGAGTGAGAACAAGTTGAGTAAACAAAGGCCTGCCTTAGACACAGTGATAATGGCCACCCTCTTTGGATTCCACACTCAGAGCCCTTGAGGGAAGGTGAGCCAGGCATGCATAAGAAAAGCTGTGCAATGTGACCCAAGAATAGTCTCTGAATCTCCTCAAAGGACTCACTAGTTATTTTTAGAATAGCCAAACAAAGGAGAAGGGTCATATCCAGGTCTTTATGGTCAAAAGATAAGTTTTCTGCTAACAGTGATTTCTTGCAGGTCAGCCTTCTGCATATCTCCCTGGAAATTGCTCTCGCCACATGTTTACAGCAATAGAATCTGGTAGAGTACTGAGGTGGTGGACTGAGATACAGGCTTGGATTTCAGGCCCTTCATCACACCAGCAGAGGCGAGGACACCTCATGATACCACAGTAATTATAAGGCTTGAAGCCCAGCTCTTGATCAGACCAGGGGAGAAGTTGCTACTTTTCTAATCATGAGGTTTATAAGTCCTAATGCCCCCAAAATAGGGTGTCTCTCTCAGTGACTCATCTGTGCAGTTACAGAATTCAAAGGGCCACAGAAGGTCAACACTTGCTATTGTTGTTACCCTGTGAGTTTTTCCAGTGAACGCTATCTCAGAAGACCCACGTTGGATGCTATCAGATCTTTCATCCTTCTTTCTTTGACAATGGTATTACCCAACAATTGCTCTTAAGTAATTCCTGAAATACAAAGTTCCAGTTAATACAGTCTCCCAACAATGGGCCTAATGAGGATCAGTAAATAATAGAATTTGACCAAAACACACCACGCAATCCATGGTTATTTCCCCAAGCACTGAATGCAAAAGTAGAATTCAGTGGATTCCCATTATTCAGGGATTTCTATTTATAGATTAACCTACTCACTAAAACTTATTTGCACCCCCCCCCCAAATTAAAACTGGCAGTGCTTTCCCAGTCATTTATGGGCACATAGAACAATAATGATTTTAAGCTACCGTTTGCACACATATTCCCAACTGAGGCCCAGGAAGATGCTGCTCCATTTTCCTGTTTCAGCTCTCCTGCAGGGGTGACCAGGGCTGTGACCGTTTGGGCTGCCCCACATCAACTGAATGTGATGATTCATTATGTCATAAATTTTGGAATTTGTAGTGCTTATGTTCTATGCTTAGCACATGTATGAATCTGGGCAGGTTGCCTATGTTCTGATTTCCACATTAATAGAAGTGAAATATAGTGTTTTGATGGGTTTACATAATATTAATGCTACACCTGACCAGATAATTAATGCCTATAAAGCACTGTGGTATTAATGCCTATAAAGCACTGTATAGTGTCTGGCACATGGTAAGGGCTTATTCAGTGCTAGTTGTTATGTTGTTGTTCTTTGAATAATAAAATCTGTCACACTGTAGAGGCCAGAGTTGAAAGGATGGGAACACTAAGACCTTTGATGGAATGTTGGGAATGATAGTGATTTATTCTTACACACAAACCAATGTTAGGGACCACAGCACCATATAAAAGTTTGTAATTCCATGTACATAATGTATTCATCTATATAATTCCTTGTATAAAATGGGAGCCTGTTCTCACAGAAGATTGCTCTTTAACTGGTGTTTCCAGTGGTGTTCCAATGGGTGATGATATCCCATAACTTCCAAAGATATTTTTGTGACAGCAGAAAACAAAAAACAATCATCGTCTGACCATATCTGCCCTTCAGTGCTCTAGAAGTGGTTCAAAGACTGCTCACGAAAGCCTGAAATACACAATGGAATACTACTCAGCAGTCAAAAAGACAAAGTCATGTCATTTGCAGCAACATGGATAGAGCTTGAAAGGATAATACTAAGTGAAATAAGGTGCATGGTGATGATGATGGAGAAAAGATTATGGTGTCACTAATATGAGGAACATAAAGAAACATAATTAATAGTCATGTAAAAACAAACTGAAAAACAACCCTTGATAGTTGAGTATAGAATTGAAACAACAAGGAGGGGAGGGGAAAGGAAATAACAAAGAAGGAAGGAAGCACAATGGTCTATGGTGATGAGATACAGATGAACTGATGGTGGGTACACTATGGTGGTAATACCTGAGAAGGGTACCCCAATATTGCCTCAGTTAAAAATAAAAAAATAATTTAACAAACCTTAAATACCAACATATACTTAATGACATGCTCTCCCTTGTTTCAATTTTTGTCAAGATTTCAAGTTCATAGGAAGTTGCTCTATTTGAAAGGTAAGTTTATTATTTGTTATCATTTGAATTTTAACATTAATATAAAAATATAGAACATTATGAAAATCTGATAACACATAAAATCCTTTCATTATAGCACATATTTTTAATTTCTATCTTATTTTTACATTACTGTTCATATTTTTATATATGTAATTTTTTATTTTACTTTTTAAAAACAACACCATTCAACACATTTTTCATGATCCATTATTTCAGTCATCAATGCTATAGTATTAAATGACTGCACAATATATCTAGTGTTCCCAAAATGGTTTAAACATGGTTTAAAAGGCAATTTTACAAATGAATCTCAGGGGAGAGAGATATTTAGGTATACATAAAGGTAAAAAGACATTTTTAATAATGTAAGTATCTATCTGTTTGTAAAAAGGGGGGATCAAAAAGCATAGTCCATTGTGGGTTAAAAATCATTTATAATGTGGTTCTTCCCTGTGAGACTTTGGCATCCTCATTGTGACCTTTCAGCCTGAGTATAAAAATAGAAGACTTTATCATAGCTTTAGTAGACCTATTTTGGGATATATAACGTCATGACCTAAACTTAATAAAAATCTAACACAAAGAGATGAAAGTGGGAATTTTCTTTGCAGAAATTCCTTTGGGGTTATATCCTGCCTTAATTCTACAAGAAGAATTCCCACAGAAATCAATAGGAGATTAAAATAAATATCAATGGCAGGATACAGTTCAAATTATGAATGAAAAACTTGAAACTTGACAGGTTAATTGTTTTTCAGAGTGATTGGAATTTGGGGGCACTAGTTTCATGAGGGAAAACTGACATTTTGGCTGTAGATTAATGATTGCAGAGCATTTTGTATAGCAAGGCCTTCGCTATGGGAGTTATATCCACCCATTGTTTTGTGACATTGGTTTCTGCCATTTTGAAGGGAAATTTTTCAGACAAGACATCTTGATTTTGCATTAGTGGTCATGTTTCCAATATGCTATTATTTTATGCATGTAGATATAGACAGATAAAGACATAGCTGTAGGGAAAGAAATTTATTTTAAGCACTCTTTGCTTAGCTATGTTATCCAATATTATTAGGAAACAAATAATAGTAAGATCACAAATGAAGGATGCAAAGATAAGAGTGGGTAATGAGCTTGAAGCTCTTTTCCTTAAAAAAATGTGGCACCTGAGAGAAATGTATACACAGTGCTCGATTTGCCAAACTTATCTAGAATGCTTGAATAGGGGTTGTGTAAAGGTCAAGCTTCGTATTCATTATTGAACTTTGCCATTGTGCCCAATAAATTCAGACACTTGGAAACTTTATTTAGCTTCTCTGAATTACTTTTTTTTGCCGTTTTTTGAAAAAAGGATAGCAATACCCTTCTGTAAAATGAGATTCAAGAAAGAACAACTAAACTCTAAGGGTTTTGTTTTCTAACCTAATTATAAATCAGGAGTAACGACCATGGGCAGCAACTGAGCATCCTATTGTGTTAGATCCAGCAGCCCTAAGAGTCTTGTCCGCCTCCTTCACCAGTATAAGGTGGCTACTACAATTCCAGATAGCATGAGTTGTTCAAGGTTGGGATAAAGGAATGAGGTAAATAATACCTGTCTTTTTTAACCAATCAATAAGAGATTTTCCCAGAAGTCTCCTTGCATCTATCAACTCATGTCTCCATCTAGAACTGTACCATATGACCAACCCAGGCTACAAAAGACAAGGGAAAATAGAGTGGAACATTTTTGGCAGAAGCAAAATTGCACTGATTGGTTCCTTCTATAATTTCTTTCAATAATCCTAAAGATACTTACCAAATTGCCAATTTGCATATATGTGGGCACACCTAGAAGGACCCTAAACTCCATGAGGTCAGAAACTGTCTTGTTTGTTCCTACAGTTCCACCATGAAGAGCACTAGAAATACACTGTTTATTGAAGAGGGTTTGGCACAGAATACATGGCTAAGGCATATAAGGGACTGAATCACTAATACTTACTTCAAAGATGCTATCCAATTCAATTGGCATTAAGTGTGTGCCTATTATGTTCAAACTATGTGCTAAGAGCTAAAAGAAATATAATGATTTTTAGTGATGTCCACAGACTGAAAGGGTTTATAATCTGATGGGCAGATAAATTTGAATCCGGTCAACTATCATATCAAGTTATATGTGTTAGAAACAAAATCAGAGATTTAAATAAAGTGATCCAGAAATATAAAGCAAGAGCAATTATTTCCATTGAAAATTAATTGGAGAATTAACTGGAAGACTGAACACAGGGGAGAAATCTTAGAGGAGCAGATCAGTTGCTACAATGGCAAAGATTAAAAAGACATTGACAACACTTCATAAAGTAATTCATATTTACTTGGAAGTGAAAGAAAAGATTAGTGAATGAATCTTCTGGGAACAATGACAAGACTGGTGGGTTTTGATTATTTAACAATTAAAAGGAAACTACAAAAGACTTCTTTTATGAAGTTAAAGGAGTCCACTATGAAGACAACAGAGGAGAGAAACACTGAAATTATAATGAGATGTTTAGTCTTCAGGGAAGAAAAAGCAGTTGTTTGAAATGGAAACATTTTTTTTTCCTGTCAGACCTAGGATCCTGAACAGTAATAAGCATTATAAAAATTTAAAAAAAAAACTAAGTATAAGGGGGAAAAATGATTCTGTCTCTGATTAACTTTAAAAGCTGAGCAGACATTGAGTTTGTTATCAAAGAAGCTGTCAAGAGAACTCCAAAATAAATCAATAGGTTTCCAAATTTACCTAAGGTTGAAATGGTCTGACCAATTTTTTTTTTTTTATCTAAATGTGTAGAATGAAAAACTCTATCTAAAGCAGGTTAGTGTTGCTACATTAGTTTCTTTTAATACTAGTTTCAGCAAATATTTTAAGATGATTGAGGCATGAAAATCTGTCTGAGATTAAAAACCTGCTGTTAGCCCAAGGAATGTCAGAGTAAATGAAATGTCAGGAGGAATTCACTGTACATGTTTGAGCTTGTAGAACAACTGTGTTCAAAAGATTAAACTGAGAAAAATTTTGTGTCAATAGAGCCAACACATCACTAATTTAGGTAGTCCATAAAATTTCTTGTTCAGTGTCTATATCGTGAAGTCATATTAAATAGTATTTTCCCCCTTTTCTGAAGGTGAGGTAAGGTTTGTTGAACATTTACTATATTCTAGCTACCATTGTTAATTACATGACACATTTTCTCATTTAATCTTCACAGCAATCTAATGAGGTAGAAACCACTTTTAATTTTCTCTTATACATGATGAAGCTAAGATGTTATGTGTTTATATAGGGAGTATTTTGGTCATGATGAAAATATATTTTTCATATATTTGGTTTTCATTCACAGTTTTCACCTCTCAACTCCCAGATCTTGGACTTTCTTGAGATAATAGAGGAATACGACAGTTTCAGCATAATATTATTCAGTTCCTGCCTAATCTTCAGAATCCTAAAAGTTCAAAAGGGCATCTTATCTTGATGGGTCTATGTTAATGAAGGTAACTTTCGAAAAACACCTAAGAATGGGGCCTTGTTTCCAGGGAACCAGTTTAGGCCCACCCTCTGATTCCCTGAGGGAAGACATGGGATAGAACAGGGGTCCAGTTACCAGTGATTTAATCACTCAGACCAATGCAATAAAGTCTCCATAAAAGTCCAAGAGGAAGAAGCTTTGAGAGCTACTGGTGGGCGGTGTGAAGATTTGGGGAGTTGCACACCTGGAGAGAAAGCTCTGTGCCTCCCCCAACACCTTGCTCTATGCTGCTCTTCCCTCTGGCTGTTGATTCATATTCTTTCCTATCTTTTGTAGTAAATGAGTGATCTAATGAATAATGGTGTTTCTTGAGTCCTATGAGGTTCTTAGCAAATGCATCAAGTCTAATCAAATGTGAGGTCGGTGTCCTGAGAACCTCTGATTTATGGCCAGTCTCCAGCAAAGATAATAATCTGGAGCTTGGGATACATTCCTGCAGTGTGAGGAGGGAATTCTGGGAAACTCTAATTGATTGGCGTTTGCTCAGAAGCTTGGGTTTGCAGCCCGAGACTGAAGTGAAAGGCAGTCTTGTGAAATCTGGTGCCATCTCTGTATGGTGTGTCAGAACTGAGTTGATATTCGGATACCCTCCTAGATCTGAGAAGGGCTTGTTGGTGTGGATGAAACCTTAGTGATCAGACACCTGCTGGACACTGGGCCTCAGGACGCTTAAGGACAATGCTCATCCCTTGATGTGAATATCCATCATTATAGTCTACTCTAGTTGTTCCATAGAAACTTAAGATGGCAGTGTTCTCAGCCTTGTAAAGAAAGTTTCTATAAACATTAGACATAATTATATAGCCAGTTCCCACCAATGAACACATTTATCCCTGGCAGAGAGTTGTTCTTGTGCTTGAACAGATTTTGTTTCTTTTGCCAGGGAAGTATAAAATCTGTGTTATGTTATACTAAATGAAAGGGCTCAGGAAATGCATTAAGACTATAGTAGTTGTGTTTTCTTATATATGTTGTGTTTATTGTTCAATGAGGAAATATTTTGCTTGATTGTCCTTTTTCAAAGGGGGGATATTCATTTCTTCAACTTATACATGTGACAATTTTTCTATTGAGGGAACCATTTTTTGAAATTAGAATAAATACAAGCACAATGAGCCACTCCATTATAATGAAGTCTATGTCTGAATACAATGATCACTTTTTGTGATATTATATTGACATTATGTTGCTAGAAATACATAATGAAGCAACTGTAGGTATTGATTCTAGGAGCAATTCCTCTTACATTGACCATCATGCTGGGGAGCCATGCGAAAGGGACTGGAGCATTTCTGGGGCACAGAGAAAGGGGAAATGGAGATTGCAGGGATGAAGGGAGTGAGCCTCAAGCTAGGAAATGTCTGAAAATTTAAGTCTATAAAATCAGACAGAGCAGCCCAGGAGTCTAAGTGGAGAATCTTACCGAGTATCTATGAGCCAATTTGGAAAGTAGAGCCTAAGAGAATCCCCTTGGGCACAAGATATGAGGTAAGGATTCTTTTATAGCTTGGCAGCGGTAGGTCTGTATGCTGGGAAAGAGATCAATTTTAAACACTTAAAGTTATTAAAATCTCATTTTCAAAACTGAGTCTCTCAACGGTGGACAGTTCAGTTAATGGGATAATTTAACCAAGAAAGTGTATCCAAAAATTTCCTTCAGGACTGATACAAGAAACTTTACTAAGGCAACAAAACCAGAATTTATTAAATTGCACTATGCACATTCTAACAGCAAATCTAATATTAAAGTATTAAAAGATTTTTTGAAGCAATATCCACAGAGACTTTTATTTCTTGACCTGCCTTTGCCCCTCAATCTATAATCCAGACAAATTAAGTGGTAGAAGCTGGCAAAATGTTTGAATTACCTTAAAATGACACATTATGAATTTAAAGCAGAAGGAGAGAAAATGAGCTAACAATTACCTGAAGTAACAGTTACTAATTGCAAATTTAGGAATGTTGTTCAATAGAATTAAAACTATCCTCAGGTAGTCACAATATCAGGAAATTTCCTTATCATGTAAAAATCTTCTGGGTAATAAGACAGAAAGAAAAGGAAAAATCCCGGATGGTCTCACTCATAGCAGGAATTTAGAAAACCTAAATAAGGGACCAGGAAAAAGACTAATTAATACAAATAAAAATCAAAATCAACAAGCAACTATAAACCAAAGACACATTATGGGGGTGGGCAGTGAGAGGAAGGACTAGGGTCAAAATAAGGAGGGGTGCAATTGTATGGGGAATATAACCAAAATGAAAATGCACACATTGTGCAAAAATGAAAAAATGATATAAGAATTATATAAAATAAAATAAAATGTTTAAAAAAATCTTCCAGGTAAAAAATGGGGAGAGATTTTCTACATGTGATTGGTTTTATAGCAAAGCAAAATAGACTTTAGGATCCAAGAGTAACAGCCCCCATCTATGGGGCACCCACAGTCCGTGAGACCCTGTGCTTAACTTTGCATTTGTCATCTCCTGTCATCCTCGCATTAACCTTCCAGAAGAGCTGCTACTCCTGAGTGAACAGATGAAGATGAAGAAACTGGCCTTGAGGAGTTCCATGACCTGCCAAAGCTGGAATTTGAAGTCTCTTGATTTTTGAGCACAGGATAGATATGTTTATTATACCTTCACCAGGGAATTCATTGTTACAATAAACTAGGAAAAAATATATATGCCAAAGGGGCATCCTTTGAATACCTGAATCCTATGTAAATTAATCATGATAAAAGCATACAATTAAAATGGAGTTTTATAACATGGGCTTTGAACATTTTAAGTTCCACCTTTCAAGTTACTTGAATATTGAAGAGTTGGTTTCCCTGGTGGAGATATAAGCCTGGTATTATTCCTTGTCCAGGTTCAAAACAAACTGACAGATAAGATGAAGAGTAAGGGACATGGAAACTCAAAATACTGCTTATGTTAAAAAAAAAAACTGACAAAGACAGGTGTTAGAGGTCCTGTGGGGTTGATAAATGAACCCAAGAATTAGTCAGAATTGCACATCCAGTCAAGGCATTCTGGATGACCTGGTTTGGGGGAGAGCCTTCTTCTGGGAGCAATAAAGAAATCCTCTATCTGGGAGCCAATAACTCCAAGAGGAAAATAGTTGGATTGGCTTTGGACATCCAGTTCTTCCATAGAAATTATGCATCAACTAACCCATGCCACCCCATGGGATAGGGCAATGGGACAGAGAGAGGGGCGGTGGGACTGTAATGGGACAGCCTAGGGAAAAGAAATCCTCAGCATTCCCTTCTAACATACACCAGGGATTTTTTGTTTCATTTTCTCCCTCCCGGCTGGGCTGAGTTTCTGAGACTCTGTATGGTTTGGCCTGGGAGGCCTCAGGCTAGGACATGCTGGTTGCCACATTTTCAAGGCCATTCCTTTCTCCTCTCTTAAAGATGACCCTCAGCTCCTTCAGCATCCTCTGGGGACCACTCATAGGGAAGCACCAGTCTCCTCAAGAAGGCTCTGAAATGAGTAGTGTATCCCATGAAATTAAGTCCATTCCAGGGTTACGCTACTGAAATTTGACTCCCTATTCTATTTCCCATTCCAAGTTTTGTCCAGCCATGCTTTCTAACATAATATAGCACCATTTTTGTATTGAGATTTAATGACAATATGACAAAATATAGTAAAACATATAAATACTACAATAATGAAATGCTAGACAACTTCAGTTCCTGCCTTCCTCAGCTGTCAAGTTCACAGGGGGAAATTGACCACACCTATTAAGTTTTAAAACATTGCTCTTTAAACTTTAATTTTCTTGACAATGCATGTTAAAACATACAAACTAAACGATTTCCCTGTTTTTAAAAAAGATTTGTGCATGTATGCATACAAGAACTGGGGTATAGGTCAAAGGTGTGGGACATGAGAAGATTAACCAGAGACATAGAGGGGAGCAGAACAGGCAGATCTACTGAAATACTCTGTGTCATGTGGTCAGCAACCCAGCCGGAGATCGAACTCATGCTGCAGTGGTGGGCAACAGCTTGATAGTGCTATTTTAACTCCTGTGCCATCAGGGAGGCCCCACTAATTCCCAATTTTTTAAATCTATTTAACCATATTAGAGTCTTCCCCAGTTTATCTGGATACATGAAAATGGGTATTTTTTTCATTACCTTATAGATTTTATTGTGGGAACACAAAGTATCTAATGTCTCTCTTTGTAGAGTCTGAGGAATTAATAGGACACATTAGATTATAATCACACTGTCTGTATATACCAACTTTACGACAAAAACAGCAATCCTCAGGTTCTAGAATAGTGTGTATTTAATATTATCTAAAACTATAGTAAAAACTCAGTTATTTCAAAGTGAAAGAAGGTGTGTTCATTTATCTATGGTGGTGTGACCAACTTGCATAACCGACCTGTATTATCTCACCACGTCAGCAGCTCAAGAATCTGGGCGCGCCCTTTGGCTGGGTTCTGGCACAGTCTGTCATAAAGCTGTGGTCCAGCAGCTGCCTGGCTATGGCCATCATTTCCCGGCATTGAAACTTCATGTCCAAACTCATTCAGGTGGTAGTAGACAGCCTACACTTCCTTACCAGCGATTGGCCAAACACCTCATGTCCTCGGCCCGTGAGCCTCTCCCTAGGCTGAGTGTGTTCAGACGGGGTAGCCGGCTTCCCTTGGGGCTGGCGATCTGAGAGAGAGAAAGTAAAATAGTGGCATCATTGTGTTGGCATTACCCTTGGCGTCTGAGTCACACGCCATGTGTGCTGTCTTACTCTGTTCCTTAGAAATGAGTCACTAAGTCTGGTAACACTCTCATGAGGCATGACACAGGAGTTAAACTCTGGGAGACAGGAAACACTCCTCGGGAACTCTTTCCCCAAAAATGGTAACAGAGAAAATTCTTAATATTTATTCTCACCGAGATCTCACTGGTGGGTAGTGAGTGACACATTAAGTAGAAGCCCGTATTGTTAATTGACATTAACCCCCTACAAAGATGCAACTGATGTTTCTGGGCAAGAGCAGGCCTTGTGCAACTCTGAGCTCTTGACACCTGACTGCTGTGTAGACCAGGAGCTCTGTCTGGTCACGTAGCAATGACATATTTCACAGGGAGAGACTTTTATTTCTGTGTCATAGTGGTTAATGCCTCTGCTTTTTCTTATGTAATTGCTTAGGCCCCCAAAATTTGCTTCTTAGGGATGTTTTATTTTATCTTTTTCCCATATTTATTTCAACCAGAGAAACATTTGCAACTTTTTCTTGAAATGAAACTATGGTGGGTGTTTCTGAAGCCTCTGCCCCTTGGTTTCTGCTGAGGACTAAGATCTCTGCCATTTGCTCTCAAGACTACCTTCCCCCTGCTTAAGATTCCATAAGTTTCCCAGACAGATCCCCACATAATATAGGAAAGCACTGACAGTGCCTTACAATAACTACATCCCCTTGAAACCTGTCCTGTATTTCTTTGAGTAGTTTCTATCTAAGCCTATGGACAAAACTCATAAATCCACAGTCCCCTTCTTGGCCCTGAACAAAGAGGATAATTTGATGGTTGATATTGCTGTTTACCAAAGACTGCTCCAATAATTTACAGATAGAACCCTAGAAGTTTTCCTGACCCACACAAAACTTAAGTGTCTTAGAGTTTGAAAGCAATTGTAGCAAGAGCTGAAAATTTACAAAAAAAAAAAAAAAAAAAAGCAACAGCTTTCTCTGTAACTTAATTTTTTGTCCTCGAGCCCTAAAACCTCAGAATCACTGACATTTGTTGTGGTTTTTGCTGTCTACCTCAGCAAGTGTATTTCAAGGTCAAGAAGCAGGAACTTTAGCTCTGAGCTGCCCAAACCTGCTGAGGGTTTTCACTGTCTCAAACATCTTTATCCAGGCCCTTCTAGACTTATGTCTATAACAAGTTGCCTTCATTCATAGACCTGGATTGGAATACCGTGTGTCCTAACTCTTAAAAATTCTGGCGCATGAGACCACATTTAAACACGGCCCCAATGTAAACCACTACAAACCTCCAAATGTTGGCCAGCACAGAGCTCTAAACGCCACCTCTTAACCCTAATTAAAAGACTCCCCATGTGCTTATTTTCTTCTTCTCAATTTTGCTCCTTGCATCTCATTTCTCATGGTTTCCAGCCAATACACTAAATATCGGTATCTTTATAGTTAAGAGAATCAAAAATGAAGCCCCCTCGTAATCACAGGAGACCTACCTGGACAAAAGCAGAGTCTCTCCACTCAGAGACTCTTATCCTAAGAGATAAATGAAAAGGAGGTGAGCATGCCCTACGTTCATCTTCTCAGATTTGCTAAATAGATAAGACGCATAGCCTGTGTTTGAGTTAGTAAATAACTTTCCATAGCATGGGAAGGTTACACTAATTGCCTACACTACAGGGGCAAAAAATAAATACCTCGGGAGCGAGAATGAAGCTTTCTCTTGTAGGAAAAACAAGCAGAGACTAGAAGAGAAAAGGAAAATACTACCTAGCAATATGTTGAGGATTTTTGCAAAGCATAGCTGTGGTTGTGGAACACTACAGTATTTCCACTATGGGCTTGAGGGAAGAGATAAACACATTCACCAGGAAAGAATCAATTTTGTCAGAGAAATCGACTCCTCTTCCTCACATGCCCTTTCTGCTGCTCTTTGTGGTGATCTGGGACTAGACCCCCTCCCCTCTCCGAGCATTCTTCTGGTCATGTCAACAGGGACCTTCCACGTGCAAAATTCAATAAACATTCCTGTTTTCCAATGTGATCTCTCTTTGATATTTGAGACTCTGGTTCTTGAAATGGGATGTTTTATTTTTCAAGATTTCTTTTTCAAGTTTCTCATCTGTCTTGACTTCATTAACTCTGCATCCTCCAGGGTCCTTGGCTTTATGAAATCTCCCCCCACTTTCTCATTCTCAGAGTCAAGGTCTTTTTTGCATTCTTTATTTTTTTTTAAAAGATTTATTTATTTATGCATACAAGAACTGGGATACAGGTCAGAGGTGTGGGGGTTGAAAGGATTCACCAGAGGCAGAGTGAGGAGCAGAACATGCAGACTGACTGAAATACACTGCTGAGGGGAGACAGGAGAGGTCTGCTGCGCCCTGTGGGTTCCTCTCTCGCTGGCCTGGGATTGAACTCATGCTGCAGAGGCTGTGGATTGCTTCACAGTGCTGTGCTTAACCCCTTGTGCCACCAGGGAGGCCCCCTTTTTGCATTATTTAAAGAAAGCAATTGCACAGGCATCTGCCCCAGCTCTGCTGACTTCTAACTATGGACTCTTCCTGGCTACCTCCCTATGAGAGTAACTCAGAGAGCCCCAAAGTTACCCTTGGACTAGGCATCCAGCTCCTACAGAATAGATATTTATTTTAAATATTCAAGGTAAGTGGGTCCAACACTCAATTGTTTACTTTCTGGTTCTCTTTAATATATCCCTTTCCTCACCCCAGTCAATCAAATCCCCATCTTCAAGTAACTGAGACCGGGAACAACAAGGTCACCCAGTATTTTCCCTGCTTCCTGTTTCCATGGTCATCTAGGCACGTGGGAGGGCATCGTTGTAGGGACTTGTCATGTTTTACAATCAGACCTGAGTTCAGTCCCAGCTGTACCGCTTCTCTGCTATGTGACCTCCAACAAGGCACTTAATCTCTAATCCTCAATTCCCACATCTGCAAAATAGGCGGAGTAAACAAAATGCACCTTGCAGGGCCTTCAGGAAGATCATGTGAGAGAAAAACACACCGAGTCCTTACAGTCACAGACAGGAGAAATCAGGCTACCTCTAACAACTCTTCACATGTTGGCTCCAAGTCTCAACTGTCTGGCGATTGTGTGGCCTTCTTTTATTTCTGCTGTCACTGCCTTAGTTTATTTCCTTTTCTCTTCTCGTGTTGATTATTGCATCTGACTGGTCTCCTTGTTTCTAGTTTCTCAGCCTTCCAGGACATCATTCATACTGTCACGAGCTTTCTCTTACTCAAGCCCAGACCTATTCATGCCAGTCCACTGCTTTCATGCTCCAGCAGCTCCGGCCTCTACAGGATAATGCTCGCCCCCAGCACGGCATCAGGACGCAATAATATGCTTACACCGAGCTTTCCTCCTCACACACTGAGGTTGCAGTCACACTAGGCTGGTCTCAGCTCCCGAGTGCACTTTCCTAAACCCGTAACTTTTTCTTGCCATGGAGAATAAAAAGATTCCTCAGCCTGAAATCCTCAATGCTGTGACTGCTTCAGTAGGAACTAACATTTCTTCCCTTTCTGCTCTGTTAGATTTTCCTCTTATTGTCCTCATCATCATTTAACCTCATCAGAGAGGATTATGGTGCATTTCTGCAACAACTTTGCAAAAGCTCTTTTAGAGTAAGGACTGTGTCTAATTCTTTGGATACAGTTATAACATCCACACAAACACAGCAGCTGATCAAAAAACACTTATGTAAATGGCTATGTAACTCTAATAAACATTGTAGCTTTGGATTTTAAAATTGTGTCTTCTACTTCTCCAAATTAATTTGTTTATGTTTTGATAATAATTTGCCTCTTTACCACTTCATGGTACTGTGCAAAGAAACACAGGTTTGTCCCCGGCAGCCTGCCAGGTGAGCCCGCATGTGAGGGAAGAACAGAGAAAAAGTGGGAGGGAGCGTGTTCGCAGGAGCATAATGAAGATGTTAAAAATGAAATCCGAGATATAATTGCTAGTTATAATAAGTAAACAAATCAATATAAAATTTTTTAATTAAAATAGCAAGAATGGTAACAGCAAGAGTCCAGATGGAGGGTATTTTCTGCAATGACTATCCGTTTCCCACACCCTGAGAACCATCAGTTGTAACTTTACTTAGAAACAGGTACAGTAAAAAGGAAATCCACTTTATTTAGTGCTATATAATCGACAGATACCTTTCCCGTGTTCATGCAGTTTTATTTTACAGCCTCATTTATGTCTCGGTTTTATTGAAGTTCTAGGCCAAATGTGAGCCCTGTGGCGTTAATGAACAAAAGCATCCTTTTCTACTTCTATTAAAACTTGACAATAGGCTATTTCACAGTGAACACACCTCACGTTCTTAACCAAGGTGCCAATGTGCCTGCACTACTTACAGAGACAATTAAGAAAGGCACCTCGGTGCCATGTATCGAAACCCTTCCAAGTTTCTAAATTCTGCTAATACAGTCTTTTCATTTTCAAAATGAATGAAAACTCCGTTCACCTGGTTGAAGCCTAATTTGTCTATTTAGGCCTCTATTTTTCAACATTAACACGCCTCATGACTCCTCCTGAGATGGTGCTGTCCCAATTGCAAGACCTAACTCCAAATAAAAATTCTGGTGAACATAACAAATAACCTTTTTGTCTCTGTTTCAAGCAAATTTCTGATTAGTTTCCAAATATCAAATCAATGCTCATTCTCAAAAAAACAGGATAATAGCACACAAAAAGGAAAATTTATCTTCCTACTATAAATAGCTAGTCTTTCTAGATGTTTTCCTTTGTGCTTTAACAACCATTAGTATAGCTGTGCTCTGCTACATAGTCTGGAGAGTTGTGTCCTTATTTTAGCATTTAATATAATGTATTTTTCCATTTTCAGAAAACAATTTTTGGGCAAAATGGAATGACCATATGAAAATATAATCATTTAAAATCATTCCTTTGTTATCAAAC